ATAATTTATTTATATTATTTGTAATTATTAATACAATTAAGAAATATAAATTCATAATATTAATTATTAGAGAATATCAATAATTTTTAAGAAAAAAAGAGATAGAACTATCAGCAACATGTCTCATGTTGCTGAAAAGGTACAAAAATTCAATTTTCCACTTCTGCCAATGATATTTACCGACATAAACCACGTCGGTGAAAGTATGGGGGGAGAATTTTGGTAACCATTTTTACTGACATGAGCCACGTCGGTGAAAGTATACTTTCACCGACGTGGCTCATGTTGCTGAAAAGAATGCACTGGATGAGGAGAGAATTCCGGTAACCATTTTTACCGACATGAATTACGTCGGTGATATTATGGTTTCAGCAACAACGAGTATGTTGCTAAAAATGGTGAAAAATTCCGGTGGCCGATCCAGTAAATTTTTTAGCAACATAAACCATGTCGGTAAATCTCTATTTTCAACAACAAGAGATATGTTGCTGAAGAGGGTGCTAGTTATCAACAACATGGACCTTGTTGCTGATAAATTACCGAGCATGGCTTCACCAAGAAAGGCATCAGCATCATGAAGCATGTTGCTAGAGTATTTTCAGCAACATGGGTAGCACTTTCACTGATGTGCTTCCATGTTGCTGAATGATGGAATTTTAGTAGTGAGGAGAATTCAAGCAAGAATTGTGAATTATTGGTGAGAGTGTTGTCTTTGATCTGAAATTCAAAAAAGTGAGATCGAAAGGCTAATCCCGATAACCTCTTCTTTCGCTCAATGATCGTCGTGCGATGAAGAGAATAAGAATTGCAATGGTCCGATCGCAGTTATGGTTCCGACTGCTCGTTAGTTTCTAATTGGACAGTTAAGGTTCTGAATCGAAACAGGCGAGCTTGAGGTTGTTGAGGATAATCGGAATCTGCTAAAAAACACAAAGAAGAAATGTGAATTACTGGTGAGACTCGTGAGAGTGTTGTTGCGGAGTGAAAAAGAAGGAAAACAAGTGCGGTTAAGATACAGATTGGTTAATTGGGCCATGTCTAACAGATTTGGGCTGTTGCTACAGATCCATGGGCTTAAGATCTAGTTCAAAGTATGGTTCAAAAGTCCTCCACTCTAGGCCCGTTTCTTAGCTCGAATTTTCACTCGAGTAGCCTCCCACCTGTCACGCGTTGAATTTCAATTGATCATACTAATCTGACCAAATCAGCCCCAAATTGTATTTTTTTGTAATGGCAGGTAAATGATTTTTTTTTTTATAATTTTTTTGGATTTTAGGTTGCACGATAGCCCACATATTATGTCATGTGATTAAAATTAAAAATTTTTATTTTATTAAAAGGAGATATTATTTAAAATAAATTTTTTAAAAGTTATATAATAAAAAGTAATTTTTTATTTTTAATT